TCGAATAATTTAATCTATTAGAAGCTTAAGGTTCGATTCCTGGCCTGGTGACATTTGCCACATGTCTTCCCCCTTTCTCATTAACCTGTTTCCTGTTTTCCTACTTTCAAAGAAAGGCCACTAGAGCCAACAAAACCTTTTACAAAAATATGTAATATGATGGGTAACTCATAACTTACTCTCGCAAAATTTAGATTTGGCCTTTTTTGGAAATAGGTCTCTTCAAATTCAAACACAAATAATGAAAAACAATACAAAAGGAAAGTGGTAGTTTGATTTTCATTTAAAAAATTGAAGTACTTGCCCCTTCAATTTATTAGAAGCGGTTTTCAATCTTTTTCAGTACTTTCTCCAGCAAACTATGCTCACAGTTTATTATATCCTTGCAGTTCATCTATCATTTTACCTTTGATCTCTCAGATTTTTTTTTTCTTTTCTAGATTCTCGCTAACTTCCTGGCAAACCATTACCCAAAACAAAATCCATATTTGAATAATTTATAGTGTGTCAAAATTTTACTGAAATCAAAATGTGCTAGTGTGTCTGCTTAAAGAATTACACTGGTGCAAAAAGAATGTTTAAAGAAACAGCTTTTTTCCATATGTCAGGTACAAGTTAAAGCCTGGTGTCATAAATAAGCATACAAATCACTTTGACTTTTTATTTTGGTAAAATTTGCTTTAAAAAGCTGAGAATCCAAGTTGAGAATCCATAAGAAACTGCATGAGTCACCAAGCATTGCTAATGACTTGAAATTATGTTTTATCTGCCCATCTCTTGCGTGTAAAATGCCACCTCCAGGGAGACGGATGCATCACTTTAACTGGGACCATTCTTGGACCAGCAAGAGCATTCCCAGGATTAGATCCAGTCTGCTGCGCATGAAGGACGGTTATTGTATTATGGTGTTCTTGCTGCTGGGAGTCATCCAGTTTCCCTGAGCTTTCCTCCTCGTCTCCCTTCCTCTGACATCCTGAACCGGCGGCCAAAAAGGATCTGCTAAGTACTGACTCTCATCACAGCAGGAGAAAAAGAGACACAGATTCTGGGGAGGAAAACGTTTTCATGCTTAGGGTGAAATCCAACAGGATTATTATCACATTACACACCAAAGGACCTTTGTTGCCTAGATAAGTACTACACTAATGTATGAAACATCATCAGGTAATAATACAAGATGTGGAAAGAAATAATTCCCAAACAAACTTGATCAGGGTTCAATTGCTTCCAAGTTTCAAAACAACTTGTGCACAGATTATAATGATCCTGTAAAATAATTGTTCAATTATAGATACAAAGCTTTTATGTTTGCAGTCATGATCCCTGTATGAATCACATTTTGCAACAATTGGATCTTTCTATTTTTCAAAAAGAAAACTCAGAGATTTCTGTGTGGAATTTCCAACCCTGAATGAATCCAACACGAACCAAAATGACCTCAGTTTTTGCAGTGATTTATCCCACCATGCTGCCTCAAGGATGTCCCAAGCCTTTGGACTCACTGGAGTAAAGACCAGCTGTTACATAACTACAAATAATTTAACAGGCACACACAGTCACACCCTGTTGCTAAAACAATCTTTTCCTCTCTTTTAAAAGCAGACTTCCTAAAGTGACTGAGAGACCTTCAAAGCAGCGTTACGCTGTGCACACCTTTACTTTATTCTGGCTCCTGGGAATGTGCATCTGTCTGTGTGGTGTTTTCACCAGCCATGATGAATCAATCATCCACAGACTGCAGTACTAAAGCTTCCTGTAGAGCCCCACCGCCTCTGAAATGTCTGCTTCCTGGCACTCAGCACCTGGTTGAGCATTCAGACCCGAGCTGAGACCCAAACGGGTGCCCTGAATTTTTCTCTGACACCCTATCTGCCAGGAACAGTGAATGACAAGCCCTGGAAAATTTTACCTCTTTAATGCTGACTCTATTCAAGTCCAACTAGGACAATGGCAGCTTGTGTATAAGACAAACAGTGTAGGTATAGTTCACTCAGAAGCAATAGGGCAACTTGACAAGTTGGAAGCTTGTCAGATGGGACCTAGATGAGCAACGACAACGCTCAGGGCAACAACATGAAGCATTAATATAATATGTTACCTGTAATAAAATGGAGTTCAAAAATTTGAATTGTAATCTATCAAAGATGAGACAGAAGGATGAATGACTACACTTCAATTCAGGAGTTATATTCATTATGAATTAAGTTCATCTCTACTCTTATTAGTAAAGACAACAGAAAACAGACACAAATAGAAATACACATGTGACTAACTACTGCTACTGAAAGCTATAAGGGGAGGCTTCATGAATAAAAAATTTTATATTCAGAATGTTTTTATTAACCTCGTTGCAGTCTAACTTTTGACAAAGAAGTTTAAAGGAAGGGGCATGAGGCATCATTTTGAGAAGAAAGCTTTAGGAGGAAAACAAGAAGAGTAATTAAAATTTCTAGAACCATTTGGGGGTAAATCAGCTTCTCCCACCAGAGCCGAAACAATAAAAGAAACAAAAGTGTGGTCCGGAAATATGTTCATTCACTCAAAACTGACAGCATCATTCAAAATCTGCCACAGTTTTGTTTCTAATTTGGCTGGTGGGGAAATTTTAAGCATGTCTTATGTTCAGATTTGAAGCTCACTAGAAATGGAAAGTTCTGGTCAAGGTCATCGGATATTGTGATAGTTTCTCATTTTAGATTTGAAACCCAGTTATAAAATAGAGGCAAAACATAAAAATAATAATTTTATTCAATTATGGACAACCGAACCTAACAGAAACGCTTATCCATAACCACATAACCAAATCTGGATGTTCAGTCCTTGTTCAGATTTGGCTGAGCAAGGCTGCTTGTTGTTTCTTTAATGCCTCAGTTTCGCTCAAAACTCTTGGGACACTGCCCTGAGAGACAGAAACTTTCATCATAGATTGACTGGCCAATCAGTTAGACTTCAGGAAACACACATTCATGAAAAATCTATTCTCATGAATAGACCAAGATCGTAAGCATACTATCCTTAAAGATAAAACTGTATCCAGGCTCGATCCATATTTAAGGATTCAAATGCGTAATCATTTGACTAAAAAGACAGTTTTCAGAGTTTAACAAATTAATTTATACTTAAACATAACTAATGATATTTCTGTATCTATGAACTCGTTTCTAAAGATTGTCTGAATATGAACATGTACTGACAGATTTTCAGATAAGACTCTGAACATGACACTTCAAGGTAATAAAAACATCAAGACTCAAAATGCCATTTGTGTACAAGAGTGCTTCTCAAGACTAATGTAAAATTAGTCCTAATTTTATATTATGACTAATGTAATAAGTGGATGTTTAGTACATTTATTAAGTTACTTTTAGAATTTAGCCAAATAATCAGCTAAAGCAGAAAAATAAATGCAACTGTGTGTCCGGCTTAGCTGGGGTAGTTTCAGAACTCATGTGTTGACAATGAAAAAATGGAAGCAAAACAAACCCTCACGCCAGTATCGTTGCATGCCTCCATATACCACAGAGATTCAGCAGCACCAGCAGTTGAGCTTGTGTTTCAAATGATATGTGTGTTGTGGGTTTGAAATAAGCTCAACCAAGTCTGGGCAACTCAGAGGAAATAACTTTGAAATATTTATCCAACATTTTCCAATTCTCATTCCAGAGGTTATCTGCATTTAGTTAAAATTAATTTTTTTTGCACAAATGAGCCTCAGCAAAAAGAGAGTGTGCTATATTTCTTCTGGTAATCCTCTTATTAGCTAGTAAATATTTGTTTTTGAGGCATAGCCATATTTGAATTTTAGAACGCCTCTAGTTTAGATGTTTTCAATTCTTGAATTCATGTTTCCAAATTAGCCTTTGTCTTCATAAAGGAAACTGATCAGTCTAGTTTAGTAATGCTTCACTAACCATAATTTGTTATGGAGCAAGCCACTGACAAAGCCACTAATTTAAGGACATAGTGTCAGAAAACAAAAGTTGAACCCTTGTAAGTCTTAGTTTGTTGTTCTTATTAAAGGACAACTAACATACGATTAGTTGTATGAACGCTTGTATCCGAGTTGACAGACTTGATATGAGCCACTGCTGAGTGGTGCTTTTATAAATTTGAGCTTGAAAACACTGTCGTCTGGTGGCTGAAAGAAAAAGTGCACAAAATAAGGCCTCTGTGTTCTTCATACAATTTGCACGTTTTATAAGTTTGATTACACTTTAACAGGACTACAGTTTGTTGATAAAAGATGTCTTGGAGAACATCCTCATTGCTTTTGCCAGGAATAGACGGAAAACATTGCTGGACCATTTCCATCGAAAGTAAACCTAGTACTTTGTCTTCTTTCTGGACATAAAGTAGAAAACGCTGCTCATTCTTGTCCAGGATCTTCCAGAGGTTCAATCCTATTAGAAGTGGGCAGTTTCTCTCTTCTGCTGCTTGCTTTCAAAGAATGGACAAATTCACCGACTCAATGAAAGTAGCTGCACTTCCTTAGATTTTGTATTAATATTATTTAGATAATTGTACCATATGATTATCTAAAGTTTACTAATGAGTTGCAATTAGGTTTTAATTAATTTAATGTGAAATTGAACTCAGTAAGATTGTACATAATTTTGAAAAAAAAAAAACCTTAGAGATGACTTGATTTGGCACTATTTCAAAACAGAATTAAATCTCAGGTGACTAATGATGAAAATTATACTAGGAAGTTGCAAACTCTCTAGAAGTATATTAGCTAATTTGTAGAGAATTCACAGGCAAAATAGTCTGCTCTTAGAAACCAAATTATTATTATGATCATCTCATTAATGCAACCTCTTGAAAGAAGACATTTTGTTTCTAGTACTGAAGTGGACATTGCATTACCTCAACTTGTACTTAAAACATAATGGCAATCCACACTACGCCTGCAAAGACTTTCATATTGCTTAAACTATATCAAAACGATTTGAGTTACACTACTGAAAAGCTCAATTCAGAAATAAAGACAACTTACATCATCCGATTTCAGTATGAATTATTCAGTTATTCATTCATTGCTGGTAATCCATACATTAGCAAGTGTAATGTCTAGGACAATTTGTAAAACATAGAAGTCAAGCTTGTACAATTGAAACACTATTTTATTATATTACATCAAAAACATGGACAGCAGTTATATTGTCTGATCCTAGTGTCACTGATTTGGAAAAAACACATTTTCTCCCAAGGATTTTGTTGGCTCTAGTGGCCTGTATTTTTTTTAAAGTAAGCTGACAGGAAAGAGGGAATGGAGAAGGGAAGATATGTGGCAAATGTCGTCGGGGCCAGAGGTTGAACCCGCGACAGCCGCGTCGAGGACTAAGGCCTCCATCCGTGGGTTGTGCTAAGCCCCTATGTCACCACACCATTTTAAGTATGCACCCCTGTGGCACCAGTTAGTTGGGTATGAAAAACAAGAGACAGGTTCTATGTCAAAAGGTGGCCAGTTTTTGTGCGCTTTAACAAGACTCTGGTGATTTGCATTTGCAGAAGTCTTTGGTTTTCAGATCTTTCCTTAATTAAAGGGGATGTGGTTTGTTTTGAACAGCAAAGCACTTTGAACCATTTATTTTTATGAATGCTACAGACATCTTTGAATGGCAAGTGCTGTTAACCAAAAATGTTTTTTATATCTATTATTTGAAAGGTTTTCATAATAGGTGCTAATGGGCACTAAGGAGCCTTTTCTACTTTTTGGCAATCTGTAGACGTTCGTGCACGTTCTCCCAGTTGATTACATTCCAGATAGCCTTCACATAGTCAGGGCGCACATTTTTGTACTGGAGATAGTAGGCATGCTCCCATACGTCAATGCCAAGGAGAGGGATGAGACCTAAGGTGGTAAAAAAATAAATGTACATGACAACGAAATACTAGAAGTGGATGGTCCCATCTCATTAACTTCATAGCCATTTTAAACAAACCTGTAGTGCCCTGCAGTGGATCTTGATTAGCACAAGCAGCAATGCGAAGTCGTCCGCTCTCCTTGTCGTAACCGAGCCATCCCCAGCCTGAGCCCTGAACAGCTACGGTGACAGCTGCCATCTTCTCTTTCATCTTCTGGAAGGAGCCAAAGTCCCGTTTGATGGCCTCCATCAGCTCCCCTGAAAGACAGATATTTACTTTAGAGCAGTAACATCCATGATCAGAAATCAGACTCAGTGAAACTAACATGCAGGCTACAAACTTAACAGTCTGTAAGCAATAAGTTTCCTCCACTGGTATTTTAAAGCCACCGAGGAAGTGCAATGGATTTTCCCATACTGTCAGTTAGGACATTTCCCTGACTAATCCAGGTCAGAGGGATCGAAACAAAACAAACACAACCACTCGAATTATGTCTCTGCAACTAGTAAATCACTTTAACCTACTGATTTATTCATATTCAAAATGCACAATTATTTTAGGTTGGAAATCAGTTTTTTTTAAGAGTTAGAAAACTAAAACAAATGAAATAAGGTTTTGTTTCTGCCTCACCTTGGGGTTCACCGCCACCATTTGGTGAGAGATTCGTCCAAAAGATGGTGTGGTTAATGTGGCCACCTCCATTAAACTTTAAAGCAGGCTGAAGGGCAACTTGTGCAGTCACATCTCCTAAAATAAGTCACACACCAGCAATATAAAAATTTAAGAAGCATACTGATCAAAGAGAGATGTTTCAAGGATACATAAATATGCACCCCTGGAAAAGATTCTCAAACTATAGTTTAAATCTGCATTCATGCAATCCTAAGTGAGTTCTGGTGGTGATTTGTACCCTTTGCGAGAGCCTCCTCATATTTTTCCTCTGTAACATTAAGGTTGTTAACATATGTGGCATGATGCTTGCTGTGGTGAAGCTGCATTATCTCTGCATTGATGTGAGGCTCCAGCGCGCCATAGTCGTATGTCAGATCAGGAAGTGTGTGCTTCTGCCTAGATGCAGCTATCTTACAAATGCTTTGGCTGAGGCTGGCAGCACACCTGGAAAGGAAACAAAACAAAGGAAAGAATAAACCAGATGTTGATGGCATGTAAACTGAACTTTTCCCTTTTTTTCCACTTTACAACTGCATACTTCAATCAGAGTACATCATGTGACAGGCTGATCAAATGAAGCACAAACTAATTGAGAGATAGAAGAAAAACAAGATGTTTTTTTTGTTTTTAATTAAGTAAAAGTGGTGTGAATTTGTATTCAGTCCTCTTTACTCAGTTACCTCCAAATAAAATTCAGAGCAAACATTTATGATCACCTAATTAATAAAACAGTAAATTTGAGATCTCAGTGTAAATGCAGGTGAATTTTATTTAAAAGATTAGCAAGTAAGCAATCTTGAAGACCAAGACACATAAAAAAAACTATGCCACTAAAAATTAATGAAAATCTTAAAGCAGGATTAAGTTTTAAAACATTTTTGAAAGCTGATCACATAATTGCAAAACTGAACACAAAGGTTTTGTAAAAATGTCAACATTCTAGGGTTATAAGCAAGTTTGCATGGCATTGTGGACTAAAGAAAATTAACTATAGATGAACAAGTTAATGTTGATTTAATTCTGGTTATATAAAGTGAATAAACAGCAACTAAATTAGCAAATGGCTTCGGCTTTTTAAAAAGCCGAAGCTTTCAGTTCACAAGTGCACCGGAACATAAGAATACATAACACAAAATTAACCCAAAGCCCTTTTTGGTCCACCATAAACTAACATAAATGAATAGCTAATCTAACTTAGCATTGGACAAGCTAACTGTTAGCACGCGACATACAACTATTACAAGTTAGCATTTGACTGCCGCTAGCAAAAGCTCCACTGGTTCTCCATGCAGTTTCAGCGGTATTATTTATCAGTAATTTTCAGCTGCTTTACCTGCGTATTTCTCCAGCTCTGCAAAGCATGTTTCTTATAACTCCGTGCAAGAGTACAGTAACGTGTGCTCAGACCAATAAGTAATTGAAACTGCCCTTGAAATGTGTAACTTCAAGTTGACAGCCTAACAGACGGTACCAATATCAGCAGATGTGGGGGTTCATGAGGTGCGCAGGACTTATATAAGCCTGAGTCGGGACGGGAATACCATAATAAAGAAGCACAACGAACTCCACGGTAGAATTCAGATTTTTCAGAATTAAAAACAACCTCTTACAATTCCCATGTTTATCGCCTGAAATAACTCGAATTGAATTCATATGGCCTTGATTAGAATGCACTGTGATTCCGTCAGACCAACTTGGCGATTTTAATAACTTTTTTAAACTTAAGCATTTATTATTTGTTATTATTATATAATGGAACGCTATGCCCTAGCGAAAACGATATAGTAAACAAATAAAATATAAATAAAATAAAAATGAAAACGCGGAACCCACTGTATGAAATGGAACTATCTGTTCCCTACGTCACAAGTAATATCAAAGATCGTCTACACAGTGATGATAACTTGCTCTTGAATATTTGAGTTACTTAGTAAAAATTTCTTTTGGAAAAAAAGTAGCCATGTTCCTTAAACCAGTCAAGAATGAATATAAATTTGTTACAAATATATGGTGAAAAATATGTTCGCCTATATGTTTCAGTCTTAGCCTAACAAGCTATTCTGAAAATACTGTGTATTAATATTCACATTGGTATTTATATATAAATTATAACTAAATCAAATTCAAATTTTTTTTTTTTTTGCTTTTCGGGGTCGAACGGTGCAAGCATTTCAATGTATTGACAACCTGAAAGGAGACAAATTAGAAAAAAAGTAATTTTTCATGCAGTTATTTTTTTTATTTAACAAACAAAGTAAGAGTGTTATATCTTCGTTTGTAATCCCTCTTTGACATTGCTCCGCAGCAGCCTGAGTGCAACACAACCGCAGCTCGTTCAGAGCCATTCTGTTCTGTCCTCGGCGAGGAAAATGAAAGTCCGGACACCGAAGCGTGACTGAAACTTGCAAATTTCCTTTGCGAAACTTAACGTATCTCTTACATTTGGACCTGCAAGGGATTATTAAAGCCGAGTGTTTCCGGAAACACCGAAATTAACCGGCCTGGTGAGTGCTTTGACGGCGTTAGGCCTGGTAACCGCAGCCAAGAGCCCGCTAGTTTCAGGAAAAGGAGCGTAAGGGAGGGAGTCATTTCCTTCAGCGCCATTTTGTGATAACAAGGAGTCGAACCGGGGCCAAGAATTGAACGTAACATAAGTGACCGTTAAAAAACACCGTGGCGTTACATGAGAGGTGTTTTAAATGTTTTTAATGTTCAGCAGGTTGGTAAATGTCATTAGCTATCAGTAGTTAACCTTGGTTAGCTTCTACACTCTGTGTCGCTGGTAACTGCTGGCTGCTGCCACACTACCGAACATTTGGTTCGACAGCGATTAGTAGCTGGTTATGGTAACTTTTAGTGGCGAATATGTGAACAGCTCTGCAGTATCTATTCTCCATCACACACTCATTGTATTTCACTGTGGATTCTATGTCTTTGTATTCAAACATGGCACATTTTCATTGTGTTGCCACCTTGGCAATTGAAAAATGATGTGCTGACATAAAGCTTCGGTTGCTGATCGGTTTTCTCTTTATTTCTTTACTTCTAGCTCACAATGACCAACGAGGAGCCTCTTCCGAAAAAGGTTAGTTCTGTCCCGCTGGTCTGTTAAGATAAATTGTTTGTAGCCATTTATTTCTAAAATGGTAACGGGATTATTTGACCAGTCGCTGTTTTTCTCTTTTCACAGGTTCGCCTGAGTGAGTCTGACATGAAAACCTTGACCAGAGAAGAGCTATGTACAAGGTAAACACTCTCTCTGTTTTATCTGCAAGATATCTAAATGAATTTCTCTTCAGTCTTCTAATAACGACTTAAAAAATTATTTGTGTTTTACAGGTGGAAGCAACACGATGCATATGTCCAGGTCCTTGAAACAAAATATGCAGAGCTCTGTTGTAAGTACATTTGATGTTAGCTCATTATTACATTCGTATTTTTAGCAGTGAAATTCAGCCTGATGCATTTGTTTTCCACACCGCAGCCAATGATGTGCCAGGTCTGAAGGAGTCTGAGGAAAAGCTCAAGCAGCAGCAGCAGGAGTCTGCACGAAGGGAGAACATCTTAGTGATGCGACTTGCCACCAAGGAGCAGGAAATGCAAGAGTGCACAGTATGTATCAGTTTAACATTATTCTATTTTATATTTAATGTTTTTTTTATTCATAAAATAGAACTTAAGTTTATACTAGAATGCCTGGAACTCTCCTGTTTTGGCTTCGGAATCGATGCGGATGCATTTTCATTAGTAATTCTAATAATATGAAATGTTAACAACAAATAACACCTTTCAGAAAACTAATTCATGAAATGTCAGATTGATTTTGACAACTGATGGTTGAGAAAAGCCTTATACATTTCTCTCATGACTTTTGAAATTTTAAATATTGATCATATTGACCATCAATAATATGAGTGCAAACATTTGCAGTGCTGGCCGTCGTGTTGATTTTCACTCTGGACAGATGCATTTTTGTTCTGTTTATTAACAAACAGTTCTCATGGAACTGTACAATTCCTTTTTTTATGTTTAATTATTAATGCATTACAGTATTTTACAAGGCTTTTATTGATTGAATGCATAACACGCATAACTCCATGGAAATCTCAGATTGGTGGAAAATGAGAGATTCTTGCAAATAATGAATTAGCAAAGTGTTGTAAATTAGGCTATTAGGTGGATTTTCTTTTACAAAAATTAGTATGCAGATTCAATTTTGTCATCCAGGTGGTGCTCAAAACTGGTTTAAAAAAATAATCTTGCAGAATAAACATGTTACAGATGCAGAGTTTCTTAAATTTGAATATCAGCTTGTGCAATTTTCCTACTTACAAATAAATGTTTGGATGCAATATTGTGTTGACTGTTAAATGTGGATTGCAATACATTAATGCTTCCCATAACAGTAATATATTTGACCGGTTGGATGTGATGTCATTGGAATTAATGTCTACACCTCATAAATTTTGAAGTGGATGTGGTGCTAAAGTGCATAAGGAGGGTTGGAACATTTTAACAAAACAAATATTCATGAGTGTCATAACTGTATTCTTTCCAAATCCTAATTTTTAATGTCAGTTTTGTATTATAGAGCTGTTGGCAAATGAAATGAGTGAAGTTTTATGGTTGTTCTCCTATACTAGTGACTAAGTTGCATTTGTCGCATTCTGCAGACCCAGATTCAGTACCTCAAGCAAGTCCAGCAGCCGAGTGTGGCTCAGCTGCGGTCGTCCATGGTGGATCCAGCCATCAACTTGTTTTTCCTCAAAATGAAGGCTGAACTGGAACAGACTAAAGACAAACTGGAGCAGGCCCAAAATGAACTGAGTGCCTGGAAATTTACACCTGATAGGTAAAGACAATCAAAATAACTCCCCCCTTCAAACAAAAAGTCAAGACTTCCTCACGCCCCCCACCCTCACTCTCACTGCAGGCATGCAGGAACAATGGTGGGGCGGAAGGCTGACAAATGCTGTACTGGTCACAAGACTCAGACTTTACAGAAAGCCAGTCACTGCAAAACAAAACTGCTTTTGTTCTCTTGTACTGTGGCAGCTACATATCACATAATCTAAAGAGAAAAGACAGTATGGTCAGGTGACAATTGTGTTTCAGCTCCCGCCCCTCACCGTCCGAGGGCCTGAAGGAGTCCGGACTGTTCCGAAGAGGTGTTCGCTCATTGCCCGCACCGGATGACCCCTTCCCGACCCCTCAGCTCAAACCAGACACTTCACACATAAAATAAAGGGCTTATGGGGGAGGTCGTGTCAGGCGGGGAGCATCCCTAGCCTAAAACATCAATTGAACATTTCAAAGAAAGCTTCCATACTTGCTTTTGTAAAGACATTTAACAGTGGATCACATCACACAATTACCTGCTAGTCTTTCTGTGAATTGTAAAGACTTCTGGACAGTCTAGACACATTTCATTCATAAGAGGAAAGTTACTAGGATTAAAAGTAAGACTTTTGGGGGAAGAGACATTAGAACATATATAAGACTGTGAGCAGAGCCAGATCCTCATCCACAAAGGGACTGTGGTTCAGGCATGAGGGTCCTTTCGCCCATGTCTTTGAACATGGGCCTCCACACGGTAGAGTGTATTTAAATGTTTTATTTTGTGAATTGTTTCTTTTCCTTGCCATTTAATTTGATCTCTTGTTTCTCTTAAAGCAAACACTTACAACAGTGTGTGTTATAACCAAGAGGCACAATTGGTCCTCATCTTTTACGCTTGTGTAAAAGTTTGCAGATCAGTTGAAATTTATTACAGAAACACACTGCTGTAGGTGCTCTCCTGTTGTCAAACTGTGAGTGCAAATGTTCTGCAGATTTTCATGTCATCAGCTGATGAGGATATATTGTTTTGTATTGTGTATTTTTGTGATTGACCAAATAATTTCTTCCACAGCTTTGAAATTAAGTTTCCCAAATATGTGACTCAGATATTTAACTTGTGAAGCCCTCATACTCTTTATCTTTTAAAAAGTATTATATTTACTTTACTATAAAGCCAGACATAAAGTAGATCTGCAGAGTTTTTTTTTTCCAATTACAACTAGCATCGCAGCTTATGTGCAAAATTGCAATTTCCTAGAACTATTTTGATGCCATGTTAGGGTAATTTGTTCTAGGTGTTAAGCATTCAAACTCAGTGGGCTGGACTTTCACTATCTGTGTGCCCACACATGATGATTTTAGTCACTTAAATGCCACAACGCAGGAATAGTGGTAGTCAACATTATGATGGAAAAAGACATGTAGATTACTCCCAGTCGGTATCGATATTTCAATATTTAGGAATGATATTGCATGTTCTTGTTTTGTTGATATCGTGCAGCTCTGGGTTAAAGTTGGCATTTTTATTTTTAATGACTTGAACATTTTTGGAAGAAAAAAAATGACCAAAATTGTTAATGCAATCAAGTAATTGATATATAGTATACTGATAGCAATGACAAA